CCCCCTCCTCCCTTTTAAATATGTATATTTGGAAGGAATTTCAAATGGCATTGAATATCATTTCATATTTCGCCATAGAATTATTGGTTTTCGCAAACTTTCTAGTTTATATTTTTTTTTTAAAAAGGCAAGATGGATTTGTTTTCATGAATGCACTCGAATAAATCACGGGCATGTGTTTTAGTTTTAACTAATTCGCTTGAAACCATCATATCGGTTTACTAAAAAACGATTCGTTATTATTCTTGGTACAGCTTTATCCATTTTTAAAATTAAAACTTCATCCTTTCCCCCCCCCCTCATACCGTAGGCGCGCATATTTTCTACCGTCTAGACTAACCCTGAACAGCTTAAGTTAAGACTGACCCTTACACTCATTTTTTTCGGCTACTCGTCTAGGGCGTCGGAGGTCGGCGCTGTCAGGGTGCCCAGACTTATCACGACACCTGCGCTGGTGGCATCTTCCATACATCTTCACGCAACACAATTATTGCAATAATTTAAAAAAAATAATAATAACAAAAATAAATAAAATAATAATAAAAAAAGCCAACCCAATCAAACAGCTAGCTAAATCTTCGTTTTCTCCTCCCCACAAGCGAGTTACGTGATTAGTCTGAATACGAAAACTTATACTGTTTTCAAAATTTAAAAAAAAGGTATATGTGCCCTCTTTAACACCACCCACGCTCCGAAATCCGAAATCCGCACTCCCACTCCCACACTCCCAAATCCCCACGCCAAGCCTCGCGCTTAGCTTTTGCTCCTTGCTCGGCGCATACTCACTCCGAGTGTTCACACGCACGTTCTCCAGCAGCATCTCGTACATCGTCTCGTTCATCTCGTTCTCGTTGAAGTTCAGGAACCACTGGACCTTCCTGTAGCGCCTCTGCAGGACGGTGTAGACGCGGTCCATCAGACGCAGGCACTCGGACTGCGACGTCTTGGAGCCGAACTTAACGTCATGAAAAACGAAGCCAAACGTCGACCACTCGAAGGTTTCGACCACACGCCGCACGAACTCAGCCGTCATGGTGTAACCCCCCTATTAAAAAAAAAAAGTAGGGGAAAAAGAAAGTGGAGACAGGGCCTTGCATGCAGTTGGCGTTGGGCTCAAATCTCCAGGGAATTTTTTTTTTTTTTTTTTTACTAATNACGTCACCTTACTGATACTGCGTTGATTCACGTGTTCAACTTGCGGAGTGGATTAAGCAGTTTTTTTATTATTTTTTTTTTTTTTTAAAAGGTGCGAGTAGGTTGAAATCTTTTTTTCGTTAATATGTTTCTTTGTGTGTGTGTGTGTGAAATAGAGACGTAGGCTGTAATGAACTTATGAAAAATTTCAGCCTGAGCCAAGTTTAATCGCGACTAGAAAAGTAATTGCTTTCATTTTTTTTTTAAAATTGTAGTTTAAATCTCAATATTCCAGTTCTGTCTGAGAAAATTCGATTTCCATTGCTTTATATTAAAACAACATTCAAGACAAGCTGTGAATTAAATAAGCATCCGGCTGTGTACTAACCGGTTGTGTACAGCACCCAACTGTGTACTAACCTGGTGTGTACAAATCCCCCCTGTGTTCACAAGCCGAGTGTGAGGGGGAGATCCCCTTCGAAATTTTGAGACATAAAAATTTCAGTAATTCCACACCAACACAAGCAGTTGTTACAGTCTAGCAGTGCTTCCCAAAAATCAGAAAATAGGCCTCAATTAAAAAAAAAACAAAAACAAGAAAAACGAAACAAAACAAAAAAAAAACGAGCAGAAAGAAAGAAAAGGATATGTGGATTTTGTGGTGGGGTTGAAATGATGTAATGGGGTGGGGAAATGTTGTAATGGGTTGGGAAATGTTGTAATGGGTTGGGAAATGTTGTAATGGGGTGGGAAATGTAATGGGTTGGCAAATGTTGTAATGGGGTGGGAAATGTTGTAATGGTTGTAATGGGGTGGGAAATGTTGTAAAGGGATTGGAAAATGTTGTAATGGGGAGGGAAAATGTTGGAATGGGGTGGGAGATGTTGTAATGGGGTGGGAAATGTTGTAATGTTGTAATGGGTTGGGAAATGTTGTAATGGGGTGGGAAATGTTGTAATGGTTGTAATGGGGTGGGAAATGTTGTAAAGGGATTGGAAAATGTTGTAATGGGGTGGGAAAATGTTGTAATGGGGTGGGAAATGTTGTAATGGGGTGGGAAATGTTGTAATGGGGTGGGAAATGTTGTAATGGGGTGGGAAATGTTGTAATGGGGTGGGAAATGTTGTAATGGGGTGGGAAAAGTTGTAATGGGGTGGGAAATGTTGTAATGGGATGGGAAATGTTGTAGTGGGTGGTAAATGTTGTAATGGGTTGGGAAATGTTGTAATGGGGTGGGAAATGTTCTAATGGGGTGGGAAATGTTGTAATGTGTTTGGAAATGTTGTAATAGGGTGGGAAATTTTGTAATGGGGTGGGAAATGTAATTGGATGGAAAATGTTGTAATGGGATGGGAAATGTTGTAATGGGGTGGGAAATGTTGTAATGGGGTGGGAAATGTCGATTTCTATTGAATAACGCTACGCCCACTAAATAAAACCGTACAATTGAACGTAGCGTATGAGACGAAGTGTGTCCGAAGATGGTGATCCGTCTGTGTGTGTGTGTGTGGGGGGGGGGTTGAGGGACACACACTGGCACACGTCTTGTGGGGCGAAGGATGCTTTATTGGCAAACTGCTTTCTTGACGTCATTAATCGTCTTTGTCTCAATTTGGGCCAGATAGATCTGGTGTACAGTGGACGTTGTGTGTACATATTTTCTTATGTGTGCATGGTGTATTTTTTTGTTTGTCGTGTATTTTGTTTACATCACGTATTTTGTTTACGTCATGTATTTTGTGTATGTAAAGTATTTTTTGCACGCACTGTATTTTGTGTACGACATGTATTTTGTGTACGACATGTATGTTGTGTACGTCTCGTATTTTGTGTACGTCATGTATTTTGTGTACGTCACTATTTTGTGTACGTCATGTATTTTGTGTACGTCACTATTTTGTGTGCGTCATGTATTTTGTGTACGTCACTATTTTGTGTACCCCGTGTAAAACGCACTGCCAAATTACATATTTTTGATAAAACAATATCAAAAAATATTTTTTAAAAATATAAAAAAATATTTGAGAAGCACTGCGTTAATGCAACAAGGAAAGAGCACAATGATAGATTTCTAATCGATACAATGAAGCAGCATAAAGATTTAGTGCGTGTAATCAATAGAGTGATCGCAATCACGAAAGTGGAAGGTTGTCTGTAAATATTATCCTATACAAAATTTTAAAATTAATTAATTTAAAAAAATAAACAAATCAAATCTCAACTATGGTCAGTGGTTCTCAAAGTGTACATACCTTGTCCCTGGTTTTCTTTTAAAATAAGTTTGTCAAGCGAATTTTCATTGTTTTGTTGTTGTTGTTGTTGTTTTTTTTGTTTTTTTCTAAGGGTCCCATGTAAATAATGATTGTTTAAAAATTCCCGTTATTTGTAATTATGGAGCAGAAGCTAATTAATCGATTTTGATAACTTGATATTGTATCGATTATGAAAACTCTCATATTATATCGATTCTGGTAAATTTCTATTGGATCGATTATTGGAAATTAATGTAATGGATACGATAACATCATTCCACACACACTTAATCTATCGAAATATATATATATATATATGTGTATCTATAATATATACATATAGAAGGTAGCTATACCCTGTTGATGTCGTCCATTCGAGTCCAACAGCAACAACGCGGCGAAGCGGTTGAACATCAAGGCCGCTGGCGAGTTCTGTGCAGAGTAAAGCTGACGAGCTTGTTAGACTTAATTAAAGTCATTAAAAATGAATTGATTTCAGTTCATGGCAGCTGTTTTATGGTGTTTTTATCATGCTTTTATCATGTTTTGTTTAAAATATAAGGAGCAATCCTTAATTTACTTAGTTATAGAGCTTAAAAAATAGAAGCCCAGCGCCAGTGATTTTTGTATAGAAATATAATGCAATTTAAATTTCTGGTGACTACAGTGTTTTCGACAGATCATTATATTTTCGTGAATCGAATTTGAGAACCACTGACAAAGTTGAAATGGGGAAGAAAAGTTGGGGGGGGGGGGGGGGGGGTTTTAAAAGTAATTTTTTATAAGTTTAAAATTTTGGTCTTAAGAATGTATGGGACAACAAGTGGGGCATCTTTAAAATAGGTGCATAATAGGCCTTGCTGATTATATCAAATATAAAAAGCTGGCTAGAAAGGAATGTGCCACTTAATGTAAATGGTAGATTTAGTCAGAGTTGGGATGGAAGTGAAATTTTAGAGATGGGGTCGTCTGCTGGATTGGGTCATTTGCTGGATTGGGTCATTTGCTGGATTAAGGTACGTTTTGGTGGATACAGTTGGAGATTGCTAGATTGAGGTAGGGTTGGCTGGATTGACGTTGGGGTTGGCTGGATCTTGGTGGTGTTTGATAGGTTGAGGTTGGGGTTGCTAGATTGCAATGGCGTGTTCTTGATTTGAGGTGGGTGGTGCTTGATCGATGTTGGTGGTGCTTGATTGAGGTATGATGTGCTGGATTGAGGCGTGTGGTTGTTGAATGAGGTGGTTTGGGCTTGGATGATGTCGAATGTGGTTGGCTGTGGTGGGAGGTGCTTGATTAACGTGGGATGTTCTTCTTTGAGGTGTTAAGTGGTTGAATGGGATGGGATGTGCTTGATTTAGGTGGGGTGTGTTTGATTAAGGTTGGCACGGCTTGTTTGGGGTTAAGTTTCTGTGGGAAGTTATATCATCTTGATAAGTTTAAATCCTTCTGTTTTTGTGGGGGAAAAAAATCTAGAAATTTAGAAGAAAATAAGAAAAAAGACAGAACGAAGTATTTTAGAATCAAGTGACTAAACAAAATATCCCACAGTTTTAAATAGCCCTTTGAAACAAATAAAAACAGAGACATATTATAACATTCAAAACAATTCAAAATCTAATTGAATAATTTGTGCTCTACCTGAATTCTTGTGAGAAGCCGATACTCCTGCTTGTCTGCAAAAGCCCCAACGAGGCTGCCAGCGGTCATGATAGGTATCCCCTTACCCCAGTAGTACGTGAACCTGGCGAGTGGCGCCGTGGCGAAGTCGCAGCTCGGACCGATGAACACGTAGGCCAGCTTCCGAACGTACAAGTCTATTCCGTTCAGGGGCCCGAACGTTTCCGAGCACCTGGAATCCCTGAAGACGATCTGAACCTTGTACCCTGGCAGGGAGCCGTCGGGGCCGATGATCTTCTCCGCGGCCAGCTCGATGGACGACCTGCTCTTGTTGAGGGAGAACAGGATCGACGCCCTGCCGGGGAGGATGACCCCGATTTTGACGATCGGGTTCCCGTTCGAGTCCAGGACGTCGTTGGCCCAGCTCGGTTTCGGATTGGCCAGGGCGACCTTGACCTCGGCTTCCGGAACGTACTGGATGTACGTCGCGTCGAGGTTGGGCTCATTCACCCGCGTGAGAACCAGCCTCAGGGATTCGAACGACACGGCCCCGCCCGCGGTTGCAGCGTGTGGTGTGGTCTGCGATTGTTCCCATGGATTCGGCGACGTGCGCTGCTCCGAAGTCGTTAGTGAAACATAAGGCGCATCTGACACCGAATGCTTTGACCGGTGATGGGGCGCTTCGTTCTCGTAATCGAATCCGCGCATCGAGTTTAAAAAACTAGCGTCTTCGTCCTTGTATTCCTCGGTATCGTCAACGTTATAAAAATAATCGAGTACTCCCACGTCGTCCAGGGGTCCTGAAGTGCTCGACATCGATTCTTTTTCTTTGTACCAACTTCCCGATTCCGTTGTGTCGTACCCTTGAGGGTAGTCGGTGGAAGCGTCTTGTGTCGTCCCGGCGTTAAGAGGGCTGTTGTCGGTGTGAAACAACTCCTCGTATGAACTGAAACCCTGAGCGTTGTTTTCGTCAGATTCGTCGACGTCCCTCAACCCTGTGAACGCACTATAGGCTGACGTCACAGTTCGGTAAGGTTCATCCGTACCGTACGGCATGTCGTTATCGTCCATCTCATTGGCTGAAAGCGAATGGTACCCTAACGTTGAGCTAACGGGCGTGCTTCGGAAGTGCAGCCCATCCTGCAATAGCGATTCTTCGTAACCGTCATCTGCCCTTTGTTTATTTCGACTCGAACCTTCGGGAATTCCTGCATCGCGGATTCCAGAACCTTCGCGCGTATCGGTCTTTGATTTTTCGGAAACGAGTGACAAAATCCAGCTGACGACGTCATCGAATACGCCCGAATCTACGTCACTGACGTTGTGCTCGCTGACAAATTTCATGATTTCGTATTTCCCGTCGGATTTCGAGCCCTCTGGTCCACGGCCCGGGTCAGACCCATCCCGCGGTGAGTGGCCGTGCCCGCCATTAACCAGCTCGGATAACTTCTTTATGTCCAGATCATGCGCGTCACCGCGTCCCCCACTGACGCCGACTTTATCCGTCCAAACTTTATCGCCTCGGACGCCTTCATACTCTCTGTGTTCCGGCGCCGTATCGGCAGATCTTCCATTACGCCGTCCACCATCTCTTTCCCATAAAGCTGTCCCCGCGCCCGGGCCTCCACCAATCACATTGTCTTCGGTTATTTTCCCGTGATGCCCTCTCTCGCTAATGGCTGTTTGGTCAGGGGACGGGTTCTCTCCGTCTCCCCCCGCCACTTTCAGGCCCGCGTTGTCACGGTCGGCGTATCCGACATCTCCCATTTTGAGGAGATCAACTTCGGACCGCTCCTTCGTCCCCTCGGGCGCCACTCCTGACGGGGGCGCGCTTACACCGTCCACCGGACGCTTTGCACCTCTGCGCCCGGGGTGATCCATCTTTTCGCTGTTCGTTCTTCTGTCGCTCCCGTCGTCGTCTTCACCCGCGTTCTCAACCCACGATACCCTGTCTCCGTCCTGGACACGTGTTCCCCGCTTCACTACGCTCTCCTCTGACAGAGCCTCGCTAGCAGTCGCAGCTGTGAAATGTTTCCCTGAAGTTTGCGTTAAATCTACCGCGTAGCGATCAACACCATCGTGCTCTGCTTTGGGGTGTGTTTCTATTGCGTCATCCCTGAAGTTGCCAACATGCGGTTCCGTATCAATTCCTTCACTTTTTTCCTCACCCACCCTTGCCCGATCGCCTGCAATCTTGCCCGCGTAATCCTTAACGTATTCATCCGAATGTACCCCTAATATTCTTCGCTTCCTCCATATTAACGCGTCTCTTTCCGGGCCCTCGTCCCAAACAGTCTCCACGGGACTCTCGGCCACTCCAAACGTCCCTCCGCCGTGAGTTATCTCCTCTGAGACGTCTTTTGCTTTCAACTTAACTCCCCTTCTTCTGTTCCCCGTCCGTTTCACACCCCTATCACCCCCAAGAGTCGGATTTGATTTAAGTCTCCTCGCCTGTCCATTTGACCTCATTATTTCCCCTCGTCTGTCATTCTCGTTATTTACCCCCGTTTTCCTTATTTCAACAAGACTTCTCGCCCTTGCATACCTCTCATCTTGTCTCGGCTCATGCTCGCTACTTGTATTAAAAGTTCTGAGCCCTTCGTCTTTCTTGAAGTTTTCCGGAGCTCGGTCGGCTCTGCCTGTCTCGTCGACCGATCCGTTCATCTCTGTTTCGATCCAATCGTGTCTGAAATGTGTACCCCATTCTGCTTTGTCTTTCCGCACACGTTCCGTTTCTCGTCCGCCACGGCCTTGACCTTCTTCGGTCAGTGCCCCGCCCTTGAATCCTCCACCACCCTTGCTCGTAGTCCTGTGCGACTCGAGATCTCCGTCACGACCCGTGAAGGGGTACGTCTTTACGATTAGGTGATTTCCCGATCCCACACCGTTAATCTCATCGTCCGGTGTTATCCTTTGGGCTGACACCATCTCAACACGTCGACCCTCTTTCCTCGTCGCGTCACGTTCACTCGTGGAATCTCGATAAACGACTTCCTCCGAGTATCTTTTAGCGGGCGGATCCGCTGACTTCCCGTTGTCTGTCGCTAATTGTTCGGGGACGCGTGTTCCGACTCCTGGCCGTTTCAAACTTTTTTTGTCGCCGTCATCGTCGCCCAGGCGAGGGCCGTTAATCCGACCGCCGCTAAAAGCCGCGGCACCGTACCCCTGTCCCTGGGAGCTGCCCGGGTATTCATCTTTGAGAACGTCTCCCGATTGTACTCCGTTATCGATTTCAGTCCTGACAGCCGTCGACCTGCCACCGAAAAGTGTGGCGCGTTCGTTTCGCAATTCGTCTCTTCGACTTTTATAAAAGTCTCGTTTCGGTCCGGATCCGTTTTCGCCGGCTGCCTGCCCCCACCGAACACCGCCCGTATCTGTCACAATCGGGGCAGATCCATCGGTATCGAAACGACGCCGCTTCGATTGGTGCCTTGCTGCTAATCCATTTACATTAGCCCCGGACCGCTCGCTTTCACCGAACGTCCATTTTGCAAATGGTGTGTGTCGGGGGGATGCAGCGCCCTTGGAGTGGGGCGCGTCTCGAGTTTCCGTTCCCTCGGGGAAACCATCCTGTCCCGACGAGACTTGAGAACGGTCTTCGATGACGCCGCGTGGTAACTTGACGCCATCCTGCTCCAAGTCGACCGCCTGCTCGTAGTTCAGAACAGCGTCCGATGAAGCTTGGTTTTTTATGTTAGAAAGCGGTTCAGTTTTGAATAAGACTCCCTTTAACATCTCATTATTTACATTATTGTCGCTGCCTCGCGAAGCAAGTGAGACATCGTCAGACTCGGCGCCACGTAGGCACCAAATCAGGAGAATTGTATACACCGCGCAAGTCACCATAATGATCCGACTATACAAGAGCGGTGTTAAAATTAATGTACATTTACCTTCACCTTTGGGGGTGTTCACCACGCAGAATGATGGCTTACTTCAGGCACGTTGTTTTACCGACACGTTGATGTATTAGGCTGACGATTTCTGCCTTCAGATAACAAAACAATGTTTTGCACAATGCAGCGAGAAGCTTTCAAGGAGTGTGTAGTTGAAGACAGGGACCACTTGTTCCTAACATTCCAAATTCATTCATTGGCTGACACATCGCCAATGAAGTGACTGGTCCTTCCAGGAAAAAAAATAAAGATACATGTGTACGTTTGTAAATTTGTTTTCTTCCTTCCGCCATCAAAAAATTCGTCTATTTATAAGCAATTTCTCCGTTAAATAAAATGTCGTAAATAGAGATTTTTCATTACAATCTAACTAGATGATCTTTTACATTTCACAGCAGTGCATTATGTTTAGCGCTATCTGATGGCCACTAAAGCCACTTGTGTTCATTCCTAATACAGGAGATGTTTTGTTCTCTAAGTTTACGAAAAGCTCAAACTGATTCCGAGGCGAATCTCCTTAATAGATCTCATTTTTGTCATCAGCTAAATGAAATATTTTAGGACTGAACTACTTGAACTTCAGTCTGAGAATTACCGTTCCGTTGAAAATGAGCGTTTCTTCACTACAGTTTTGTAAGATATTTGACTAGTGAGTTTCTTCACTAGACTGTTGTTAGATATTTAACTAGTGAGTTTCTTCACTACAATGTTGTTAGATATTTGACTGGTGAGTTTCTTCACTAGAAGGCTGTTGTATCCATTTTCGTTAATACACACACACACTCTACTGCAGGCTCAACGTCGACATTTAGAACTCATTTTGACCCCACGAGTTGCTTCTCTTGTAGCTTGAGAGTTACACGCTGTTCAAAGACTCCAGCATGGCGTCCAAAGACTCCAGCATGGCGTCCAAACTCCAGACTCTGTTTATCAATTTTTGGCTCACGATACAATAAAATATATTTTTTAACAAGGTAATTTCTTTTCTTTTCTTTTCTTTTCTTTTCTTTCGTATAACAATGACAGTTTTACGCAAAATTAGCCTTGAAACATTTAAAGCAATGTATCCGATGGTGAATTTTCACAAACTCCTGGGGGTGGTCACTCTTCAATAATCATTAGCCACACCTCATAGCAAAAACTTGACCACGCCTCATAGCAAAAACTTTAATGTGTGGACACGAAACTTGTAATCTCTGAAAATTCCACACGATCTTTTTCCTCCGTGCACCTCCACTCGCTATAATCCTCTACGCCCATCTCTCTCCCAGACCTCCTCGTTAATCATGCCAGACGTATGCGCTCGTCATTAATCATGTCACACTGTGCGCCTACGTCATTAATCGCGTCACTTCGTATGTGACGGCCATTCAGCGCCATCGTACCCAAATATTGAATTACTCACAACCGGCCTCCGCGTTAATTAGCCATTGAGTTTTTTTTTTTTTTTGTTGTTGTTTTTTTTTTTTTTGGGTTCGTAGATTTTCC